ACAAAAACATAACAAAAAACTAAAGGAATTTACTTTATTTGGTTTGGTTGTCGTTAAGCCCAAAGCTACACAATGGGCTATCTGTGCTATGCCCACCACGTGTATCGAAACGTGGTTTTTGGCGTTGTAAGCCCGCAGACTTATCGCTGAACCACTAAGGGCTAACTTATTTGGAGTAATAGTTTTGTTTGACGAAATTCTATAGAAAGGAACACCGTTATAGTAGTTACTACGAATCAAAAACCCTAATCATGACATTTTTTATTTAGGTAACTAAGTTATAATACTGATATAGCTCTATCCATTCATTTTGCCGAGGCGCCAAGCACGGTCTTGTGGTTAGCATGCCTGACTATGAATGTACGGGTCCATTGTTCTCGCGTCCCATTACCGCATTATATATGTATATACTAGCTGGAGTACCCGCTAACTGGACATAAGTTATGTAAGTTCATGATTAACGAAAGGTTATTTTGGACATGAAAAGTTGTTTCTCTTATATGTAATTGTAAAAACGCCCATAAAATCTGCAAAACATAAATTGTGAATCTGAAAATTTTTATGTATCTCTCCATGAACCCAATATACCTCCATACCAAATTTGGTGAAGATCCATCTACAGGGAGAGAAGTAGTGGTAAGAGACCCCAAAACGTCCATAAAAACTGCTTTTCTTATATGTAATTTTAAATAACGCAAAATGCAAAATCGAACATTTGTATGTATCTCCCCATGGACCCAATGAATCTCCATACCAAATTTGGTGAAGATCCATCTACAGGGAGAGAAGTAGTGGTAAAAAACGCCAATAAAAACCGAAAAACGCAAAATGCGAAACAGAGATAAGAGGTTTTTGGACTGGATGTTGGCTGTCATGTGGCAGTTTATGTAATGTCTTTCGCGTAATACAGTAGAATACTGTTTAATTCTAATCACAATTGAAGTAAAACGTATTTTGTTTTAATTTGTTTCCAGAAGTATTGGTATCACATTTCTTCCAAGTGGCAGACGTATTTCGATTTGACTGTCATTGTTTACAGTCTTTGATGATAGATGATTTTGTACAGTCGGTCAAGAAATGATTTTGATAATAATACTCATGCTATTCCATGTCTCATTGAAAGTCGAAGATATCAGTGTCTTGCAGAGTAATCATGATATTATTACATCTCTGCACTTACAGAGCTCAAATAATCAACTAACACATCATATAGTAAGTCCTCTTTACTTATGCAAATGAATGGAGTGTTTTACAGATGTACGTGAATGTATTTGTTTGTATATATATATATATATATATCTATTAATAACGCTGCCAGCCAATACGTGTTTGAGTTACATTTCAGCAATTATTTGGGATCATAATGAGATGATAAACTTTTGAGTCACAGTTCCAAGGCATTACTATAAAAGTTTTGTGGATGTCAGAAAAACCAGAAAAGGAGCTTAAGTAGTTCTTTGAATGCAAGATAGTTTGATAACTGTGTATGATATGTAATAATGAAAAAGATGTATGGTGCAATGATAAGTTTTTGACTTGTAACAAGTACAAGAGAAAAGTGCTATCAAAAATACAAATTATCACACCAGACCAAGGATCACTTTTTGTTAATGAAAATATGGGATGCAGTACGGTGACTCCCGAGTTAATGAAAAACGAATAAAAATATTATCATGCTATAATTCTACTAAAAAAATATATTAAAAACCTGATATAGATAAATGTTTTCTAAAGTACCTTCAAGAACAAATTCATTGATTGCGTTTAGAAACAACATGGAGTCCGGTACGTTTCATACTTTACAGAAACATACGAGGTTTATTATACTGCCCATAAACTGATTAATTTACTGACTTATTAGTGATATTAAGTTATTACCGACATTCTTGAATATTCTAACCTTATACGTGTAAGCTCACGTGAACGCTTTAAAGCTTACTTTGCAGCCATTACGATATGAATCGCTAGTGTCTATTCCTAACTCACGCTAAAACAAATTATGAATCCATAGTTTATCATCGCTGGCCGTTAAACTGCTAGATTAATATGTCTTTATGTTTTATTTTTATTATTATAAATGCTTGTAATAAATATGTGGCATTTCTTTTTATTAATTAGAACACAAAGTGTATATTAAGTACTATTATAACAATACTCCATTCAACATTATCAGTTTTTAGAGCATTGCAACAAGATAGTATCTTATGTACAATGACTTGGTTAGTCAGCGTTTGTGTTGAGGTCTAAGCCTCCAGCATTCGTGAAAATGTCGAGGCCAAATGTAAATAAATACTGGTAAAGTATGATAGGAAAAACTATGTTCAGGGGCACATTCATGCTTGAAGCTGAGGCACAACTTGTGCACACATATATCCTCAAGGTCTGCTACGTTCCTGAGTTAAAAGTAAAATTAGAGACACGATTAAGTGTAACAATCATTTCATTCTCTGAGTTAAAACTGGTTTCATTCTATGAAAGGTACCTCACCTTGGGATCTGTTACTACAGGTCTAGATTTTGAGATCCGTAAAGTTGCCTCAGGATAAGCTAAAGACTGGCACTCCTGAAGTTATAAAAGATCATTCTTTTTAAGAATCCAAGGTGACCTTTGCTCTTGTTACATTTGTTTACAGTTAGGTGTTGGGAACACCTTTCCATCCTCTCCACCGAATCTTGTATATTCTGTTTGTACTACAGGTCCAAACAGTTCAGCGCACGAGCTGTTTGTGTACGTTAAAAAACCGTGGGTTTCCCCCTATTAATTCTAACTGGTTGCCGTCAACCTCCGTGCATAAGTGACCAGATTCCTTTCTGCTTATTCCCGACGGGTTTTCCGCTAGTCGCTGCTTGGGATCGCACCCACTTCCCCGTAGAGTGAGGACAGCAGCACGTACTGTCGTTTCCTCCTTCATCAAACGGCCGGGGAATTACACCTGGGCAAAGAACTGTTCACTGACAGTAGTCATGATGTCTTCTTAGAGTAATTCAAAGGTTGAAGCAGATCAGATGATACAACGTCGTAGAGAACAACAAAAGTTTATTTGTTGTTTCTACTGCTTACCAGAACGTGGACCAGCTATATACCTTCATAGGAATATATATATATCAACTAAACATCGTCTCCTCCCTGTAACTGTGTGGAATGACAGCAGCTCCGAGAAAGCATTAGAAAGCATTAGAAAGTATTAGCGACCTGTGTCATCCAGGTGAGACGATAATGTGTATTTAATTAGAACTCTCAAATTAGTGACTTGTTGTCAGAGCCCATAATAAATAATAAAAACGCCGATGTTATTTTCTGATATTGGTCTAAAATGTTGATCATTTCTAATATATTGACAAATCACATTTTCAACATGAATTATGTAAATATATATTATTTAGTGCTCATGTTGCTACATGTGGAAGATACAAATCTAACGCGTATTTTAAAACTAACATTTTACATTTTGTAGACCTCTAGAATAGATAACAATTAAATATAGATGTTTATATTTCATTTATAAATTTGAAAAAGTTGTATTTGCTTATTTTGTCACTTACTTGTTTGTTTTTAATTATGCACAAAGCTACACAAGGGCTATCTGTGCTCTGCCCACCACGAGTATCGAAACCCGGTTTCTAGCGTTGTAAGTCCACTAGGGGGCATTGTCACTTACAAATAAGCTACAGTAAGATTAGTTATGAATGCGATATTTTCAAAGTAGAGGAATAGACATAAAAATACAATTTAAAAATGTGCAGATGTTAAGAAACAGTGAGGTAGGGCCCGGCATGGCTAGGTGGTTAGGGCGCTTGACCTGCAATGTGAGGATCTCGGGTTTGAATCCCCGTCTCACCAAACTTGTTCCCCTTTCAGCCGTGAGGGTGTTATAATGTTACGATCAATCCCACTATTCGTTGGTAAAAGAGTAGCCCAGGAGTTGGCGGTGAGTGTCTTCCGTCTAGTCTTTCACTACTAAATTAAATACGGCTAGTGCAGATAGCGCTCGTGTAGCTTTGCGCGAAATTCAAAAACAAACAAACAATAAGGTAGCTGCTTAGATTGTTTACTATTACATCGAGATTATTGTGTCGAGTGTTAAATGACATCTGAAGATTTTACAATATTATTGTTAAATTGTAGTTAGGCGTGCCAGTACTTTCTAACAAAAACGTAAGTAAAGAAATTGATTTTTCCTTTAACCATGAATGTTATATTTACCCTGTTATTATATTCATTTTATGCATTGTACTATTCCCGAAAAACACAAGATGTACTTACAGTATCAAATTAGATACATGTAAATACATGATATTTGATTTAAAACGATCAACCAAATTTAAAAAACAACTATTATAAAAACATCATATCAAGTAAAGATATACTATTTGTCACTCCTGTAAACAGCGCTACCTGTGTTTAATGTTCTATTAAACATAGTTGTATTATTAATTTGGGTTTAAAAATTTGTTGATTTCTTAAATTGGAGGAATGAAACGAAAGTTTTAAGGATTTTAATCATAATTAAAATTAACTGAATTATATTTATTTACGTTTGTAATAATCTATTTAGTTTTTATCTTATTTCCCCTCTTTTCATGACCGTTCACTAAATATACATATGAGTTCCCTTTCACCATGTTTTCGATTCAAGTTTGGCTGACTGTTACACCGTATATTACATATTTAGTAGGCGTATCAGCATATTCAAGACACGAAGATACTACAAAGACTTTACTGGACTTTAGATTAAAAATTATTTTTGTTCAGTTATAGGGCGTAGACAATGGCCAGATTTACTATAAAATTATCAGTAGTTGTACATTTAAGCTTGTACATTCATGTGCTTGAAATAATAACTGTACTGATTAGATTGCTAACTGAGCCAAATTAGAGTTTAACAAAATAGCTGAACTATGTACTTTGGGTATGTGTATGATACGCAGTAATCCTATGTTCCCTATATAGGCAACTAATTGTCAATGTCACGAAGTAAAAAGTTAATTAAGAAAATGAAATCACCTTTCATAATAGATAGTGTACTGGCATATTTCCAGGATTTCCACTTTGTTCATGATTATTAAGCAGGTAAATGTTATAAATTCTTATTACAGTACTATGACATTTCTTCTGATAAATACACAAATGAATCAACAATATTTTCGCTTAGTTGATGTACTATGAAATTTGTAAGATTCGTTTGACAAAGAGTAGTTTGACACTTTCTTTTTTCTGAACAATTTATATATTTTTAAAAATTAGGTCTCTAATGTTGTTTACAATTTTCTGAACCAGTTTACTTTTGATTCTAACTTTAATATAAGAGTGCAATTTTGAAATGGTTCTGTATATAAAATGTGTGAAAATGTACATCAATAATAGTAAGCTTACCTCTCTAAATTGTATTTAATAAATAGAACCTTAAGCTGGATTTTTAAATCACACTTTTTGTATTATATTTATATTTTAACCCTTTAAAACAATGACATTTTACGAATGTTTACAATCAAATGTTTACTTTTGTTGCAATGACTGAGATATTAATCGAAATGATTATTCAAGAATCTTACAGTAATTTCATTTGATATTTGTTTCAGATACCAGTTACAAGTGCGGACATCAAAACAACAATCGAAAAAAAAGCAACAACTGTCGTCATGAAGTATTACTTATTATTCCTTATGGGGGTGGCCCATATTTCTAGTCTCTGGTGTTTTAACTGTCCTCTTCATAATGAGGGTGAGACATGTATTTGTGATAATCGGACTACTGGTACGTATGCTGGCTCTGAGATAGTGTGTATGGACAGTAAATCTTTAGTTAATTCTTACGTAATCGAATATGCCGTTAACAGAAGAGTAAGACTGGAATGCAACGCTTATATTCCTTACAAAATAGGAATGTTTTCGCAGTACAACATTACAGAGATTACAAGCTTTCACTTTGTTAATTGTCCTTTGCCGAACATTACATTTGAAGAACTTCTTCAGGGAATGCAAGTTGTGCAATTGAAGTTCGAAAGTCGAAGAAAAGACTTAGTTGTTGCACCGTGGCTGTTTGAAAACCTAAAGGAATTAACAACTTTGAGTATGGTAAAGAATGGAATATCTGTACTACCTGAGAACATGTTTTCAAACTTGTCAACATTGCGCACACTTCAGCTTTCTGATAACAAGCTGCAGACTATACCAGAAAAGGTGTTTACTTCTCTCCATAATTTAGCAACTTTGGACCTAAGCAGTAACAATCTAAAAGAATTACCAAACAATGTGTTTAACAATCTCACTTTCTTGCATAACCTTTACCTTTTTAAAAACGAGTTGCAACATTTGCCCGATGAAATGTTTCATGCCTTAGAACAATTAGTTGTTCTAGATATTTCAGGAAACAAATTCTTTGAACTTCCAGTTGATCTGTTTAATGGTCTTTCTAGTTTAGAAAGTCTACGTATTTCTCAAAATAGCTTGAAAACTCTTCCAGAATCTATCTTACAAAATGTTCCTAATTTGAAAGTATTGAATTTGGTTTTAAACGAAAATCTCACTTACCTCCCTGATAAACTTTTGAATGGTTTAAAACACCTTCAAAGTGTGTTTCTAGACTATTGTAATCTCTCTAATATTCCTGTATATTTTTTCTCAAATACCTCTACTTTACAATACCTTAGAATCAGTAACAATAAGCTTACTTCACTCTCAAAAATGCATTTTGTCACTAATATTAACTTGAAAGAACTGGATTTAAGCTCTAACAAATTGCGTACTTTACCATCAGGATTATTTGATAAGCAGTTTGCATTAGAAAAGTTAAATTTAAAACGTAATAGATTGGAGCAGCTTCCTATGAGAATATTTGATAGCCTAGTAAGCTTGAAAACCTTGATAATCTCTTCTAATCAGTTAAAGGGCATAAAAGGAGAACTTTTTATCAATCTCCAGAAGTTAGAACATCTTGATCTGAGCCACAATCGTATTAGTTCAATTGATTCAAACGGGGCCTTGGGTAATATACTCAATTTGAAAATTCTTGATTTTTCATATAATAACATCACGCTATTCCCTAATCTCGACTGGAAGATGCTCTTACAATTAGACACCTTAAATTTTCAATATAACAAAATAACAAATATATCAGTACCAGTTCTTTATTCTAAAAACACACGCATGCTTTTGCGTTTTAACAAAATAACACGGGTAGGAGTAACAGAACTCAGAAGGTATGACAGCCTACAAAAACATATAACTAAAGATAATTACACCAAATCTATTCCGCAGTATCCTGGCACACCTTCCTTTTTTTTAGGTGCAAATCCTATTCACTGTGACTGTAACCTTTTAGGGTTTTTCGACTATTTAACATTCAGGTCATCAGTTCGACAGAATGCAATATTTCCTAATGCGAATCTTATAAAATGTGCTGGTCCTTCTTCTTTAGCTGGAAAAGAATTTCTTGATGTACCAAGAAATGAATTTATTTGCCCAGTGTTTCATGATTGTCCTGAATCATGTGCATGCCACATTCAAGGACATGATAAAACGGTGGAAGTTGATTGCAGAAGTAGATATTTAGATGCAATTCCAGAGAAATTACCTCAAAATACAAGTATTTTGTACCTTCAAAATAATAGCATATCTTCCTTAGGAAGTACCGCAATAAATTCTACTTACTTTTCAAGTTTGAAAGAGCTACATCTCGACTACAATCTCTTGTCAAGCAAAATAGACTGGTTTCTTCCACCAAACCTTCGCGTTCTTACTTTAAGAGGCAACCAGCTGGAATCTCTACCAGAAGCATTATTAAGTCACAAGGATTCAAGAACTGGCAAGCTCGAACTTCGACTCGGGAAAAACCAGTGGCGTTGTGACTGCTCAAGCCTCGCTTTTAAATCATGGCTAAGAGATTCTCATAATATAGTAACTGACATTCAGGATATTGTGTGTTCTGATCCGATGCAAATCAATGGTAGTCTAATCCAAATGTCGATGATCCTGAATATTCCAGATGAGGTATTGTGCCCCAAAGACAAGTTCAATCATCGTATCATACTAATAACTGTGTCGACAGTGTGTGCTCTTCTTGTACTTTTGTTTTGTGTTACAGTAGCATATTTTCAAGGGAGAAAGATTCTTTGTAATCATATGATAACTAGCAAGTCTTACAATGTTTCAAATTCTGTGCTTAAAGAAGAGGTGAAGAACCAAGATAAAGCAAGTCCGAGCTGATATCACTTGCGATCATGAACGATTCCATATTCTTTAAGAAAACAATACATTATGTTAATGACTGACTGTCTCTGAACAGGAAAACAGTTGCAGAACAATAAATCACGAAAAGGTGCTTGAAATGCCTCGATGGACTGAAAGAAACAGAAACATTACAGTATGTTGGAAACAATTCACTAAACATGACTGGAAATGAAGGGGCGAGTCTTATAAAATAGATGCCCGCTGTTTCTTTATAAATCTATCAAATTAAGTTTGATAGAAGCTTTCAGCCAAAAGTTCTGTTAAAAAGTGCTACATTATTGTGATTAAATGTAATTTCACAAAAAAATATAAAGTGAGAAATAAACGACTGAATAATTAAACGAAATGCAATAACTATTATTGTTTACGAATGGTGAATAAGGTTTCCCCTGCCGAAACGTTACCTATAATTGTTTTGAAACGTATGCAATTATTATCCATAAAATTATTTGTCATATAGAATTCGATTTCGTTTAAACTTTAACACCAAAATTTAAGCACATTTAGAATGTGCTTCAGGTTTTTTGACAACATTTTATATTTTTACTTCAGGTTAAATTTCAGAGTATGTATAACAAGATATATCTTTTTAAATTCCTATACTAGATACTTAGGTAAACTGTGAAGTCATAATGTTTGCTTATAAATACTAATTACACTAAAGATTAGTTTTAAAGAAAAAAATTAACATCAGTTACTAACTAGTATTTCATGGTCCTAGTACTTTTTTCCAAGTGATATAAAAAATTCAAAATTCAACTAATCTAACCTCCAGTATGATGGTGAAATATTTCCTGTTACATTCCCCTATAATACATAAGTCTAAAAGTATTAGAAGTCATCGGAGTTTTTATAAAAAATTATCATATTTTGGAAAGAAAGCTAAACACAAACGTAAATATAGTTATATGATATAGGTACAAAATTCCATATATGGCCGATGTGTAAAAGGAATGATTTTATCAAAGATTGTGCCTTTAAAGCGAATCAAAATATTTTTTCCTATTCTTTACTCATATCAACTTCCCAGTAGTGTTTTAAAACGTAAAAGGTAGTGGAATATACAAGAATACGTGTCTAACTTCAGGAAATTGGAAATTAGAAAAACCTGTTTGGTTGCCAACTAAAATAACACATTTTTGGTAATCATTTCCTTCGTTTTATGAACAAACTAACCAAATGTTGCAGCATATACGTTAGCTGTGTGAATATCAAAGTTTGTAAATTTACTGTACTTTTCTTTATATGTGAAAATACTAACGCACTACTGAAGTATAAATTGAGCGTTTGTATTGTTTATGAAATGCCAATGATTAAATGTCAATAAAACCTAATGTCTGGGTTTTACTACCTGTAAACTTACAAGATGATAAATTAAACTGTGTTGTAAATGTTCACTGCTGTAATTTCTTTCAAGATTGTTAGACACACAGTGTAAATGTATTTAGTTTTTCCTTTTATTATATCAAACAGAGCGATATTTAAAGGTTCGCTGAGCAAGATAAAACTACATATCTGATTATAATTATTTTTTATAACTTAGAAAAAAGTATGAAAACCCCCTAGATTTATTCGAAAATAAAATTTTATGATGAACGTTATTTCAACGATGAAAGGCTGCTTTGCAATTGTATTTCCATACTAATTCTTAAAGGCTAATAATAATAAGAAAATGACCTAATTTAAAGACCCGAAACACATAATTAAAACAAAGTTGGACCACATTTAACATCCTGTGAATCAATGGCACAATGTTGTTAATATTCACAATTATTACAACAGGAACTCGAAACGTGTAATCATGACAACATTAGCTGGGCATGTGAAATATTTTAGCCCAACATTGCAAAATACTTCCTTGTTGTTATTTCAGAATTAGAAATACAAATAAACTTGATGGAGTAAATTTGCTTTAAATATGGTAATGTATGTTAGATATATCCGTGTACATTTCATTTCTAACCGGAGGTACATAGTATTTTACGAGAAAATTACCGCAATAATGCCTTTAAGCAAAACGTTGTAATACTCAGTTCAGCATATAAATGACTGGTTTGTTGAGTAAAATTAACGTTTCACAGGTGTGATCATACTTACGAAATTGTTTTGCAAGAACATATTTCATGTGTATTTCTAATATCTTTTTATTTCAAATAAACAAAGTATAACATTGTTTCTACTTTATATTTTTATTTGTTTGTTTGTTTGTTTTCGGATATTCACTCAAAGCGTTTCAAGGGCTATCTGCATTAGACACCCCTAATTTGAAACTGACAAACTAATGGGAATGCAGTTAATCAACAAAACTCACCGCCAACTCTTGGGTAACTTTTTTTTTCATTGAATAGTGAGATTTGTCTGTTACCTTTGTAAAGCACCCACGAGAGAATATATTTTTTGTTTTTGTAGTAATAGGACAAAAACCATGGATCCGCAGATCCACAGTTGGGAACGCTGACCTCTGGGATATAATCGGTCATTTGTTTAATGCATGAATTATCATCGTGATTATAAGTGTTCTGGTTTCTAGGTGAAAGATTAAAGCGAATAATAATTTTATCTTGTTTTTTTTTTTTCATGTTAACTTCTTAATATATTTTTGAAACTTTATAAAGATTGACAATGTTTTCGCATCTAGAGATTTCTGATGACGCAAAAAAATATTTGTATGGGGTATATTGCCCCATTCTCCAATCAGTACAACGCTAAGACCTCTGATGGCTCATGGCGGGATAGTGTTGACATACGTAGTGTGCAAGAACGTCCCGGAGATGTTCTATGGGATTTAAGTCAGGACTTCTTTTTAAACACTACATAATCTCTGATGTGCTTTGTTCAAAGTAGTCCATCACAATCATTGCCTTATTTAATTGCATCAGAAGAAAGTCTGATAAAAATGTCCTACGTCAATTATCGTCATTCATTCCTCAATAACAAGATGTATACATTCATTTATACCGATGCTTCCCCTTACCATAACGGTCATATTCAACAATGTTGCACCTAGCACATTTTCACCCATGATTCTTCAGACATGAACTCACCAATTACTGGCAGAGACATCAAGCCTCGCTTTCTCTGTGGAGCTTAATTAAAGGCACTTAGTTGAGTTGCAGGCCAATTCTGACTATTTCAACAAAAGTCCAAACTTTATTTCGTTTGGAACCCAACAGTGGAGCTGAAACAGGTCATTCATTCGTTAAAATTGTCTAATGAAATTTATTTCTAGCTGTTTAGTTAATGATAATCATTTCGGCTGCTGTCCCAAAACCCATGTTGAATTAATGGATAGTGAACAGGTGATTACTGACGTACATTTTATATGGAAAGTGGTCATTACGTGGTGTAGTTGAACTTCCACAACCTTTTCCATGCTAGCTAGTTGAAAGATGTGTTGCCTTATGGAGGTCTACATTGTCACTATAATCTAGTCACTTTTTTTTTTCTATTTTTTGTGTGTTTTTCTGTCAAAAACATAACAAATGAAATATCGAGTTTTTTGTTGATGTTGTTGATTTGCGGGGAGACCGAACCTTGGATTTTAGGGTTAAAATTCCACAAAAATTCAATTGTAACTTGTTTTACTTTATTAATTATCTCTGCGCTTTCATTGTTTTTCGTATAACCGACCTTTCTGTTAAGACTTAACAAGTCTTTACGCTTTTTCAGAAATCTAATATTAAAACAGAAAATAAGATGTTAATTTATATGTAACAATTTTTGTTTTCTGAGCGATATCTTTGGATGTGTTTTGTTTTTAAGATTATAATATTTGCAATTTATCCCGGTCATGGTTACTTTCTGAAACTTACTTAATCGTTGGTTCTGGAAGAAGTGCTACGCTATTGGGAATACTTTCTAGGAAAATGCATGTTTGTCTGCCAAACCTTTTTTCAATCTGTTTACTGGGTCGTATAGTATTTATTACATTCTACTTGGTCTTTGTGGTAATAGCGGGTTTTTCCTAACAACGTAATAATGGTATCCACAAACGATATTCGAGATCAAAAACAAATTGCACTTTTACTCTAAAGATTTTGCTTTGACTGATTTAATCGGGGGAATACCGCTGTTTTCCAGGTTCAATGCTTTACGAGGTTTAGTATAAGACACGAATAGAGGTGTTCAATATCGTGACATATGACTTTAATGCATTTACAATTAACCAATTTTTGAAAAATTCCCACCTGCGTGTCACATTTGACACGAAAAAGATATCAAATTTTGTATCTTTGAAATAAGGCTAAATGCTTTATCATCTGTTTTTCTAACAACTAATTGATTCTTGTTCGTTCATATTATGCTGTATGAATATTTTACCCGCTTAAATAAATCTATTATAATATTTAGCATATTAATTATGTATTAAACATTTATATGAAATGACTCTATTTTTAAATAAAATTAAAGGATTATAGAAATATTATTGTTTTTCAAAGTGAAAGCGTTTGTCTACACGAATGATAAGTCCGAAAGCTTTTTTTTTTCCACACAAATTTAATGTTCTTTGTTTTGCTCTTGTTTTTCGTTAAAACGTGCTTTTCTTATTTGAATGAGTCTTGACTGTGAGATAAAAAGAACTCGGTCTCTCTAATACCCAGTTGGGACAGCGGTAAGTCTACAGAATTAAAACGTTAAAATCGAGCTTTCGATTCTCCGCGGTGGACACAACAGATAGTCAAATGTAGCTTTGTTTTAAAACTAATAAATAACCATACTTACAGCTCTAATTGAAGTTTTTAGTTTGTTGCATTTGATTATTGATGAAAAGTTGTTAATGTTACGTTAATATGCTGTTTGACCCTGTTTCTAGACTAACTTTGCCATTAGGCCTTAGTTAGAATTGTATTCACTCTAAAGATCTAGAGCTCGGCATGGCCAGGTAGTTAGGGCGCTTGATTCGGAACTTGAGGTTCGCGTGTTCGAATCCTCGTCACACCGAACATGCTAGCTCTTTCAGCCTCAGGGACGTTATAATGTTACAGCCAATCCCACTATTTGTTGGTAAAAGAGTAGCCCAGGAGTTGGCGGTGGGTGGTGATGACTAGTTGCCTTCCCTCCAGTCTAAACTAAAGAGCTAGGCACAGTCCTACTTTGAAAGTTGCTCGTGCTACCTAACAATAAAAGACGAAAATAAAGCGTAAAATACAGTTATTTGCAGTATTTAAAATGCAAAACTTACCAATATAAATCTAAACAGCAGAATCACTTTTTACTAGTTTAATGCGTTTAATTATTTTAACACAGTTTCATATACTCAACCGTATGTATGACTGATGTTGGTAAATTTCCGTGCAACAAAAAAAGATCACATTAAAATGAATTCATTAGAGTATGTACCTCTGAAATTTTATTTGTCAACAACTCTAGCGTGAATATTAAACTACTTTGTAATGTTTTCTTCTTCTTCTGAAAATGACATTATATCTGTATTTTATGGATCCGGTGCAGCTTCGTGGTTAACTCGTTGGTCTTTGGTTGACAAAGTCCTTATGGTTCTGGATAACTGCCTTTCCTCTG